CACCCCAAACCACCCCAGGGCACCCATGCCAAAGTGAGCGAATTCATCCTGAACCTCTTCCAATCCTTCGAGTGGGAAAACATCGCTCTCTTGTACAACGACAATAAAAACTCTCAGAGCGAGCGCCAGCACTGCTATTTCTCCGTGGAGCCTGTCTTCCACGGGCTGCGAGATAAGAAAGCCAATCCCTGGGCCTACGAGTTCGATGAGCGGTCCGGGCAACGGCTGCAGTGGGCCCGTATGTTGAGGGAAGCTTCGAACCACGCGAGGAGTGAGTCATTAGTAATTTAGTGTTTAGTATTTGGTGTGGACAGCGAGTATTCATAACACGTCCCCGACTTACGGTTAGCGCAAGCAACGTTTGAAAGCGGCGGGAGTTTGGGTTTGGTAATGGCGAAGGACATGGCGTCACTTTGGCGCACGGCTGGGTTGATACTATGAGAAATGTCAGCCCATAGATTTATAATATAATAGTGTCCTAAACCGTGCACTCTGACGTAGCTTCCGTTCTCTATGGTGCGAAGTTGACCCATAGATTTGTATTATAATACTAGACCTTGCATTCTGACGTTTCTCCCGTTCAATATGGCGAGCAATATTGGACTAAATTTGGAGGCAAACGAAAGTTTTTACTGTTACAATTTTTTTTAATGCGATATGAAGCCGGGTTACGTCAGTGAAAATGCACATAAGAAATGCAGTGTTAGAAAGTTCACTAATCCGAGTGAAAGTAATATCACACGAAAGAAATAGATCTAGTATTATAAATCTGAGTACTCATGTCAGTTTAGAATAAGACTAAAATCCTATCCCATGATGCAGCTCACGTATTACAGGAGACACTTGTTTTTAATGTCTGTTTGCCTGTGGAAATCTAACAATTATTGCTATCCGTACGTCGTGTTTTACTATCGTATCCATACGACGTGGGGAACTCTGTGCCACCCCTTAACCCTATCCGTGCGTCGTGTTTTACTATTGTATCCATACGACGTGGGGAACTCTGTGCCACCACTTTCCAAAAAGGAAATTTACTCGTTAATCCGATCCGTACGCTTTGCATAGCAGTCTGACAAAATGATTTTTTTTTAGAAATACAGAAAGTTTCAAAGAGATCTTGGTACGGGAAGTATTCTAAAATGAGAATAATGCAAACCCGGGTGTACAAAATGACCCCAGGGCGTACGGATAGGGTTGATCAGGAAATCTATCGTCGCCGATTTCTGACAGTTCCCGTGCTCGGTGCGCTAACTGTAGCCTGTAGCGCCGTATTATGAATACCTCCAGTAGTTTTAGTTCCTCGTTTTTTTTTGTTTTTCTGTTTTTTCTGGCACGTTCTAGATGTCGTTGTTGTTGGGAGTCGCCCATGCGACATAATATTCTTCGTATTGTATTGTAACTTTGATGTTGTAGTGTTCGAAGTGGATACATTGTAATATCACACTTTGTTGGTGTTTAAAAAAAAAGTTGACACAATATAAAGTATTATAAGACACATTTCTGACAGTGTTAGGGTTTAGGCACTTTATATGACACACGTTGTTGGTGTTAATTTGAAGTTGACACATTATAAGACACATTTTCTGACAATGTTAGGAGTTGACACATTATAAGACACATCTTTTGACAGTGTTGGGAGTTGACACATTGTAAGACACATTTTTTGACGGTGCTAGGTGTTGACACATTATAAATATGATTGTAATGTCACGTTGTTTATGGTGTTCTGGCTCCTGGCAGTCAGCGCGTCACGTCACGTGGTGCATTTTTTGATGTTTTGTTTTTCTGTACGAAAGACATATAAACATAATAAACATTGTATATCGTAACAAGATATTGCTATGTTTCTATTTTTGAAACCACAAAAACAAATCAACAACTAATAAAAACAAAACAACCCCCAAATTTAACAAAATGCATCCACCCTCCTAAACCACCAAAAAAAAAAAAAAAAATGGAAAAGAAGGGAAAAAGAACCCCTTAAAAACTCCCAAAAAACACACAAAACAACACGATGGTTGTCGAGTGCTCAAGTGTGGATTGCTCCTACTTTCCTATCAAACATCTATTGCCCAAAATTATCTCTCGCTCTCTCTCTCTCTCTCTCTCTCTCTCTCTCTCT